CGGGGGCCTCGAGGCCAGCCCGGGACTGGGTCTGGGAGCTGCAAGGCGGCGGCGCCGGCGGCAGAGGCGGCAGCGAGCGCCCGCGCTCGGACGCCCCCAGGCGGTGGGGCTGAGAGAGCCGGAGGATGGCTCCGGGCGCTGACCCAGGCGTGAGTACCCGCTCTCCGTGCCCCCACTCCCTGAGGCGGAGAAAGTTTCTCCGGCCTTGTGCGCCCTCGCGATCCGCCCGCAGGGGTGGCGGGGATGCCTCCAGAAAACCAGGGGAGACGGAGACCGTGCTGGCGGCGGCTTGGCTTCCAACTTGCCAACAGACGCTGGGCTCGACTGGCGCGCAGAGCCTCTCCCGCGGGCTGGGGGCGAGGAGGGCGCGGGGCTGGAGGTGGCGGAGGGATGGGAGCCGAGGTGTGGGGGCGACGGCCCGCAGCTGTCAGGGAAGGTGTTGGGGGCGCTCTGGAGGTCAGCTGTTTGGAGAGGGGGTTCTGGGGCTAGAAGGGGGAGGAGCAGGTGAGGAGAGGTGTTCTGAGGGTGTGGGGGGAGGCACCCAACCAGGCAGACTCAGCGCGGGCTGGGGAACTGGCCTTGGCCGAGTGCCTGTGCTTCCAGGCTGGGGAAGAGCACGGGGGGCTGGCTCTCTTCCTGGGGGAAGCTGAGCTCCCGGGTGCAGCGCTGGATGGCAGAGGGCTCCAGGAGCCAGCCCTGCGCGCGGCGTTGCTGCCAGCCGCCTTTTGCTGGACCGAGGTGTGGTCTCAGACAAGCCAGCTTCAGGCAGGGAACTGGCCTTGGCCGAGTGCCTGTGCTTCCAGGCTGGGGAAGAGCACGGGGGGCTGGCTCTCTTCCTGGGGGAAGCTGAGCTCCCGGGTGCAGCGCTGGATGGCAGAGGGCTCCAGGAGCCAGCCCTGCGCGCGGCGTTGCTGCCAGCCGCCTTTTGCTGGACCGAGGTGTGGTCTCAGACAAGCCAGCTTCAGGCATTCCAGGGGAACCGGGGCGGGGGGGTGCCCCT